CCGCACATGTAAGTATGTCGCTCGTTATTGCTGACAACCCCACCTTCCTCAGGTAGGAGGAGGGTAGGCACGCATGCTGTTAGGGGCATCCGGGCATCCGGTACGCTCTGCTCTCGCTCCCTCCCTCCCTTCCCCAGTTCTGCTCCTTGGCAGCAGCTTCACTCGTTCGTGGTTCGTCTTTCCCCCTTTCCTTTCCCCGCACGAAAACACACGTGCACTCTTCCATATCCTCTCCCTCGCCCTTCCCCTTTTCCCCCTCCCTATTCAACCTCACCCCGCCCCGCCCCGGCCCCAGCCGCTCTCCCACCCGGCCCCCGCTCACTCGCCCATTCACTCGCTTCCCCCGCTCCGCCCCGCCCCTTTCACACCCTCAGGTCTTACTGGCTATCACCATCGCTATCTTCCTGCTCTACACGCTGCTCCTGCTGTGGCCCCGGCTGTCCCGCATCCGAGGGGACGCAGCCCGGCAGAGCGCCCTGCTGAGCCACGTGCCCTCGGAGCTCGATGTCAGGGCGCACCTGAAGCGTGTTTTCAGGAGCTGGGGCCCGCGAACAGCGGCAGGGAGAGGTACGGGGCCGGGGGGCCATAGCAGCAGCAACGACAGGAGACGCAGGATCAGCTGGAGTGGAGGAGATAACGGTGGTGGAGGTCGTGGTAGTGGTGGTGGTGGTGGGTTCTAAGGGGCAAAGGGCCTGTAAACTTTCAGCTCTGAGTCCGCTGCTGAACTATTTGGAAAAGATAAGGACTGGCTTTTTGTTCAGTTCATGGCTTGGTGGTGGTGGAGGTGGAGGTGGAGGTGGAGGTGGAGGTGGAGGTGGAGGTGGAGGTGGAGGTGGAGGTGGAGGTGGAGGTGGAGGTGGAGGTGGAGGTGGAGGTGGAGGTGGAGGTGGAGGTGGAGGTGGAGGTGGAGGTGGAGGTGGAGGTGGAGGTGGAGGTGGAGGTGGAGGTGGAGGTGGAGGTGGAGGTGGAGGTAGGGATGGATGGATGGATGGATGGATGGATGGATGGATGGATGGATGGATGGATGGATGGATGGATGGATGGATGGATGGATGGATGGATGGATGGATGGATGGATGGATGGATGGATGGATGGATGGATGGATGGATGGATGGATGGATGGATGGGCGGATGGATGGATGGAGGTTCGCCGCGTGTGCAGGTCTATGAGGGCGCGGCAGGGTGCTGCTACCTTGCCCGGCCCGACTACTGATGTGGAGGATGTGGCTACGGGCCAGCACAACAGCAGCACAGCAGCAGGCTGGCGATGGTGAGCTGGGACACATAAAATCTTAGTCCGCGATTACTATACTGGGGCCGTTACTGTAGTTGATTATTGTTATTGTTACTGTTGTTATTGCCACATCATCGTCGTAACGCGCGCCGTCCACGGAAGCAGATGATCCTTCTGGATCTGGATTTGGATTTGGATTTGGATCGTGGCGGCCTAGCTCGGTGCATCTAAACACATGTACCGCGTATAATAATATGCAAATTAACGTATATAGAAAAACATGCGTGTCTATGCATGTGTTTATATGTATGTATGTGTGTGTATGCGCCAGGTATGCACATGCATGTGTTGGGGGCATGGGAGAGCTCAAACCCCATGTTACCCTGTTCCTCTTTAGGACAACCGCGGGGTTCTCACCCCCCCCTTTTTTGGTTCATCCCCTAAAAGGAAACTGTGGTGCTGACGTTGGTTCCCCCTTTAAGGGATGACATTACCCTTCGTTGATGAGCTGAAGGGTTCCCCCCTATGGGGGGGTCGTTGCTCCTAATGCGGGTTTAGGAACCAGCACGCATCAGCATCAGCAGCAGCAGCACGCAGTTACATACAGAGGTCGGAGGTAGGTAGATGCCGTGGGGGCAGCGGCGGCATGAAGGGGGGAGGACGCACATCGAGCTGGATGCTCACGGGGCCGGCGCGGCAACTAACTAACCACTACGACGCAGACATCCTACAACGTACAGCTTCAATATAAATGTATCGATAAGCATATCATGGTCGTGAGTGACACGATAATGGTTTTATTTGCTGTATGATGTGTGAAACAGGGGGGTGTATCTTCGCCCGTGGCAGCTACCCTGCGAAACCCTGCCTTCCCCGGTATTTCGGGGCACCCTCATCCAGTCACCCTAGTCAACTTCTCAGTGGATCGCTCAGGTTCCGCACCCACCACCAACATCCAACGGAATCTGCCGGGTCGACAGCGGCCCCAACTCCGT